GAATGCAGTTACATTAAACAGTAGGTCGCTGCCCTGTGGAACATGAGCATATGCAGTGCATAAATACATCTCCAACAGCACTGCGAGACCCAGGTTATTAAGGGTTATGTACATTTATTATCATGCTTCATGGTGCCAATCAATTCTGTGGAAGTTTTGCGAATATATGACACTGACCAGTTAAACTTCATTGGTGACGAACATAATATTGCACTAACCAGTGCCGCCCAATTCATCTGAATGTGAAGGAAGGGTATCTGGAAAAATTCCCCTGAACTTATTTTGAACTATAATTCTTTTCTAAGTTTAATGTACTTTCAGTTAAAGAGTCAATTTATCTACATGAAATTATTACTTTAAAAATCAAACTATTTATTGATTTTGCTATGCTACCTTAGTGGAACCAGTTAGGAAGAGAAGAACGAGGTAAGATAGTTCAGAAAATGAAATGTGATTGGTTGGTGAGGTCAGTTCGAACTAAGCAAAATCGTGGCCAGACAGACTTCTTCGTGAGGTCTGTCAGAGTTAAACACTTTAATGTTTGTTTCCAAAAAATTTTCGTATACGCGAATGTCTGAAGATAGCAGACAGTAAAGTAACTTCGTCGCTGTGATCGTTAAAAGCTTAATTAACTTCTAGATTAATCGGCAGATAACCGAATATGTTTTCCCTGCTATGCGAATGATGATAATTGACGAAAACCCTTTGTGAAGACGTGTGTTCAGGAAATGCAAAGTCGATAGGAGAGGCTGATAGATCCAGCATTTATGTTTCTCCCTTTCTAAGTATGAAAGCCGATCATATTCGGGCAGAGCAGTGACAAATAGGTCGGCTTTGAACTCAAGGTGCTGAATTCGAATCCTCTGAAGTAACAGCCTTTGCCTTATCTGCGAATTTCCATCAGCAAGAATTGGACTCCACGTTGCTTCGACGCAAACAGCCGATAAACAAACATCAAGCCGGTAACTTGCTAAAAATAGACACAATGCAATATTCTGGACTGGCCATGCCAGAATGGACGAGGTGAACGGACATATTGTCCGATGCGAGTGCCTCATGTGGCTGCATCTGCCATTCTGTTAACGCGGGA